ATATATATATATATATATATATATATATATATATATATATATATATATGTATATTTGTTGCAGTGAGCATAATTCCAAATTTTTTTTATAAAGTAAATAGTTCTTTTAAAACATCATATCATAGACTGAGATATCTATGTTTTATCCTCGTCAAAAACTTGTACTATCAATATTCAGCTAGTGGCCAGGTGACCCTATCCTACTAAAGAATACGCACGCTTCCTAGAACATCAAAAGATAGATCCAAGTGAATAGGTGATCTCGTGCCACAAGATCCGTACCAACGATGAGTGAGTGTTTTTGACGGAATGAGTTATGAATCGACTACACAACGAAAGGTTAATGATGGTCTCATTAAGTGATATTTCAATCTTAACTATGAAAGAATTTGAGGAAATCAAAAGTTTCAACAATAAAGAATAAAAGTCCACAGTGAAATTGATTAAGTATCTATCACTAAATTTATTCATGGATTGAAAAGATTACATACATCACTTACGTATAATTCTTTGTCAAGCCTTTTGTTCTTTAACTACTAATAGATAAAGACACCTAGGGATCATTTTCCCATTGAAATAGGATCCACATATATCAAATGGATCATGCTCATTTTCCTTCAAAAATTCCATCCTTTTGATGTTGGTATATGTGTTTCATATTTATATAGTTATGATGATTATGACATAGATAAGTTTCAATCAAATATTATATTCTTAATCAGGTGTTATGATTAGAACTATCAATTTAATAAAAATTTATAGATTTACTTCATAAATGACATTTACAAGAAAAATATTCTTTAATAAAGAATACTTCGTTTCAGATCATGAATATGGACATTCATTAAACAATAAATAAATCTAAATTTATTCATAAATTTACAATTGTTACATATCCCTATAAGAATGTACAAAAAATCTATTGTTTAAATAAAGACTATAACAGCACTTAAAGCATAACATACTTAAGTGACTAATGGAAAAAAATAAATAGTTCTATCATATAGATATTTTAAGTCTTGGTGAATCAAATCTTCCTCAACCTCGTGAGATACGAAGAGTAATTCGTCTTTTAATGTCCAATTTCTTTATTATAGAAACAACATTAATCATTTAGATCCTTTCTTGATTTATGGGTTTATGCTATATTTCCCATAACTGAACTATAAGTCTATTTGAGTACACAATCTCTTAGACTTCCATTTATTCAATGTTTGAAAAGATTTGAAGCTCATTTTACTGTTCATAATGAATATTTTCTTTACTTGATGAGACATCTGATATGTTTCATAATTATCCAACACTTTCTGCAAGTCAAGGTTAATTACTAAAGTACGATGTAAGACACAACAATATCATCACAATAATACTTCCATCAAACTATCATGATCAGAATGATTGGCTTAAAGAAGTTATTCAGGTATGGGATCTTTCAGTGTATATGATTTCTATTTATCCTTAAGGTAGAACCTCAAGATATTAAACTAGTTATAGAAATTATAACCATCAAATGTTACTATCTCTTGAAAATTAACAAAAGAGAGGTTTTTACAGGGTGTAAGAGTATTAACAGTTATTAACAGAATGTAACAAAGCTTCATTTAGAATTTTGAATATTAAGTCTCTAAAAATTAATACTTTTTACTATTTCTAAAACATTAATTAACCGAAGTCTAGGATCCAAGTAATGAAACAAGAAAATGGTCAACTAATATTTATCATATAAACTTAATCAAGCTCGGTAGGTAGCGATTACCAGTTGAATACGATATGTAACTCCTAGATAATGGAATCCTAAAAAGTTATTTCTTATATTGGCATGCTTGATCCCATCTATGCCTCAGACCTCTCATGCCTAGGTGACCATCATCACACAAGATTCCGATCAAGTCATCCTACTTGAAACAACTTGTAGTCTTGCAACTATCTACTGACATGGTGACCCTTTAGACACCAGAAATTTCAAAACTACCCCGAACATCATAAGAAAATCCTAATGACCAGGTAACCCTGTTCCACTAAGACCATACAAATGATACAGAGTGTTCTTCAAAAGGACGAAAATGACTAGCTTTTTTAAGAAAAAGTTTTATATATGTTTTACAATTATATTTATAAAAACATGATCTCATGAATATTGCATGCATCCAACAATTCATGTACCCTTTTGTAAACTTAATATAATTTTTTATGAGGTTCTTTAAGTACCAAATAAATCTTCATTTTATTTTCCATTCGCCGCGATCAAATATAAACTAAAATTCGGTAGTTTAAAGTTTAGTCGTAGATTGGTTTTAAAAATCGGTAATAGTATTAATAAAATTTCATTTTATACATAAGACTTGGAGTTTTGGATGAGTTCTAAAATAAAAATTTTAAATCTCCTTTTAGCAATCAAAATCTTATGACGTCATCAGTTTGTAGAATAAACTCATTTTATTTTATAAACTCAATTTTATGTATCTTATTGTAAAAGTCATATTTTGATAAACCAAAACTTGGATGATGATACTTATGTTTTAAATCTCATTTTGAATGCATAAAACATAATATCAACGTGTTGCGTTATGTTTAAAACACCAATATCACATACTAAGTTTCGACGTAAAAAATAATCACTAGTTTTATTATTTGCTGTCATAACACTATAAACTGATTTTAGTCTCTTTAATAAAAACTCCTTATTTATTATAAAGAAAAGGAGTTTATATAATTTTTAAACAACTTTTAAACCATTTTGAATATTTTAAAGTTGTGTACTTATATTTTTTACAATAAAACTATATTTAACAAAAAGTTGATTTTTAACCAGTAAACCGGTAACGAGTAAAAACGTTTTTATAAATATCCATTTATAAACTTATTATATTATCTTTTAAATATTGTTTACTCAAACTGCAAGTTATATTATCTTATGTTAAAATGTTGTTTGTCATGCAAAACTCATTTTCATACACAAAACATAGCATACAATTACATAAAAAGAAGCATCACATGCATGTATTGTAATGTGTATAAACCAAGCCATGTCTAGTAATAATTTTTGTAATCCATCACAAAAGTTATTAAGCCTTTCCTAAAGAACTTAAGGGACACTTCAAAAGGTCTAGAAACTCCCACTTTCCAAGTCAACTCTAGCTTGCAAAAAGAACTTCAAGTCTTCATGTTGTAAAAGTTGTTGCACTTAAACCATTAAGACTATAATTCAGCCCAAAACCAAACGTAGAAGCTTATGGTTGGGATTATGTTCTCAAATGGTTAAGTCATCTTCAAGGATGTCATTTCTTCATCGTCTTACATTTAAAAATAAATACAACTAGTCTAACTAATTTACTACAACAAATCAACAAATGAAAAAAAAAATACCTTTTTATATATTACATCTTATGAATAAATAAATATCAACCAAACACAACACAAATGTCAAAATGTGTCAC